TGGCGTTCTTGCATCTCTTCACTTTCTTTGCAACCTTAGACCACTGAACTTCTCCATTTTCTTTTCGAATCCACTTTCAACTTTCCTTTCTCCTCCTATTCCTCATCCCAATGGGCAGCCAAAAGACAGCAACCAAAACCGACGCACGAGAGTGCATGGTTAATGGTTGTTCAAACTGAAGCTGTATGGTTGTATCTGGGGCCATGAGGAGCCGTCTTTTATAGCTCGCAAGGCCAAGGAGTTACGGCAGCTTCACAAATGCTGGGTGAAATTAGTGAAGTTATGTTTCTTAGCGGACATATCGTAGTGGAGTTGTATAGGGTATCTAAATATACTATCATACTTCACTGCCCAACACATCTCATACGCTGCGTTCATGTTCTCTGGATCTGCTCACCATTGAGGCCAGCGAGTTGTAAATATCATTCACTTATCCCTTTTCTGAAAACCGGCTTCAGCATTTGAAACTTTCCATTTGATCGATTCTACCATAACCTTGCTTGTTTCTCCCCTTACTTAGAAAGCAGTGAGTTCTCGTTTCGCTAGAAAATTATTTCAAGCACTTATGAAAAAGGCAACTTCGTAAATAATTTTAGTTTTGAAGGATGGATTAGAAGCTTACCATTTTAGATAATGACCCATGTTTCAGAAATCCGAGATAAACACAATTTCTTGGTTTTGCGGTTTCCTCATTTCGGAAACATTTCGCGACCCCTTGATTTAGAGAACTGGAAAAGTTTAGGTTCCAATTTCAGTTCTTTTATTTTGTTCTGTTTTTCTGGCATCCCGTTTGTTGCTTATGCATACTAGGTTCCATATGTTCAGACATGATTTCTTGTTTCAGCTGTATCTTTTTTAACTACGATGATCAATGGTTACGCTAACAAATCCGATTAAACTTGGCTGTGATCCGAAATGACGAAAATCCCATACAACCATCGTGATATTCGGATGTGACAGTGCTAAAACTGTCGTAAGACAACAGTTTAGAAGAAACCAACCACAGTCGATGTGAGGCTTAAGTTCGCACACCAGCGAGTTGACGTTTCTCCCTGTATGTTGTCCTCGTTTATATGTTTCATCTGGAGTTACTATGGTTTGTCGTAATCTACACTATTGTCATTATTTTTATAAGATCAGTGGCGGGGGAGATCATTTAACAGAACTATCACTCATTTATTGTTAGACATACGTTCGTAAAGCTGATTGAATAATGTTTTACTGCGTTCCTAACTTTCGAGAGCCTCACCATCCAACAAAGATAACTGAATCCATTACTGTTAGCTCGCAGTTTGCACAATATACCATTAGTACTGCTGACTGAACTAATTAGGGTCAGGGCCGAAATGAGTGATAATATGGATCTCCATTACCAAGGTACGTTAAGGGTGAAGGACCGTATAACTGCATGTACCCGCTGGTTCCAACGATTCGGCGAAACATTTTACTCCGCTCATCCCCCGGTATTTTGACGAACAAGGGGTAGTTGCCTCGTACTAAAATGCTCACTTTATCATATTCTCACTTGGAATGTCTGTATTGCGTAGAGTTTGCTGTTCACAACTGCAATGAATTTGGTTTCCACATGAAAGACTACTTTGTCACTTTCCAAATCATAAACGACAATTTGAGGGTCAGTCTTTTTTGATGTCTCTTATAGTTTATTTTTGTTCCATTCCTCACTGTAATGAACAAAAAAAGTGAATACATCCACGAAGATCTGTTATTCGCTTGTGTGAAGTAACAACCCAGACCTTGAAATTTGGATTAAAAAAATACTGAAAGTCACCGTGACAAAGATGTGATATTGAACCCGGCAGGAACAAAGATAATAAGTATGATATGTGTAGGTGATTGCGCTGTGAATGGATTTATGCGGTTATCGGCTGTAATCTCCCAATTTTAAGCAATTGTGGTGCTGCGACTGTCTGCAGGAATTGTGGCTCTTGAACTAATTTAGGAATACACTTTTCACTGAATCCGTTTGTTTCCTACACCCGACAGATACTACCAAATCATCAGGCTGAACATCAAACCGTTCGACGTCATATTCGCTCATGCTTCTCCCGAGTCAGCTGCTTTCTCCTTCCCCACCCGGGTTTGAAAGTAGCCACCAATCCGACGTTTGATGGCCGGTTGTCCGATATCGACCCGGAATTTGTGAACGAGCTCCGCATCTTCGTACCTACAGTTCTATCCCCGTCCAGTTTGCAAATGAAAAAGATCAACGGAGAGACCATTAACTGTCGTGAATGGCTCACCTATTTCAAAGCGTATATGGAAATCTATCAAGGCGACACATTACCCGAGCCCCGTTCAATGCTTGAAGCCACGGCTGAGGCAAATAACTTGAATGCGATCATGAAATGTCAGGAATACTACACGGAAGAAATGAACAAGGTGAGGCGAATTTCTCCTCGTATATGGCACCTTTTGGTCTTTTATTATAGCAGTGATTCTTTTCAACAAATTTCCCTAGAGAAGAACCGTTTGTAGTTTAATTCTAACCCAAAACATGAAGTGTTATTAGGGAAATTGATTTTCACGCACACCATAGACCTTTGGAGTGATTGAGCATAGAGTGCAGTGGGGAGCTATCTTTTAGTGAACCGAACTGTGACAGGACTGCGGTTAACGTCCCACTGTTTTTGTAGTTTGCGATCCATTTGTATTAGGATTACGTTGACCAGCTTGGACCGTTAACATGCTTTCCGCGGCTGTGGTTTGTCCTGTTACATCATCGCATACCTCACTTACCTGAAAGAAGACCCTTCGTCTCTGCCAAGCCGATGTAGTTCTCACGATGTTTCATTATGCTGGTGGTTCCAGTTATCTTTTCTTTCATTTCACTTCCTTTTATTGAGTACTTAATGTTACAAGTTTTAGGGAGGGGGAGCGACCAATAAAAGGACTGCCACTTAACAGAATGGGGAAAGTCAGGCAGTGGTGGTGAGATTCGAACAGGTCCTTCGGGGCGATAGTTTGCTGACATTTACCACTCAACCGCCCGCCCAAGTAGTGAAGTTTTTTGTGGACAACGGGAAATCGTCTCCCTTACTGCATACGAATTTTCGACTTTCCATAAGGATATTATATCCAAGATTGTCTAGGATTTTGACTGACGCTGTTTGCTAATTTCGTTCGCACTCAGGCGCGCTTTTGTATTTTCGTACTGAGTTCTATGAATGGCCCTAGGTCGAGGTATTAGCTTTAGAATTAGTCTAGCCTTGTATCGCTCTTGCGTTAGTTTACTACCACCAGTTGAAAACTTTTGTATACACACGATTGATCCGTAGAGTAAAAGTTGTGCAGCTAATTCCGATGAATTGTGATGTGAGGCGAAAAGAACACGGATAGAGCAAGTATATTGATGCACATTGGTCCCGCTTTAACTAAACCACGTGCTTGTTAATGCCTGTCTGTCATTGTAAGATGTGTTTGTGTAAATGCACGTATGTTTGCGCCCACTTGGCTTGATATTTGACTTTCTCAGACGGGCACTTTTTACCATGCAGATCTCCTATCGATCTGCCTCTTGTGAATTTCTTCCTTCACTTACAATATTAAAACACGTAAGATTTAATCTAGTATGTGTGGGTTTCGTGTCATGTAAACACATCGGAGTAGTCCCATTTAGTTTATCGTTTTGCACACTTTTCCCTGTCCTGAGGAATTACGACGAATCAGTACCCTCAAATTCTGGAATAAACTCCCAAATCGGTTAGATTTATCGCTTTCATTACGGTGTTGGTAGTTGACAGAGGCCTGTCTATCATCTCACTTCCCCCTAGTTTCACTTCGGATTCACTGTGTATAGCCTGGGTTCGAAGGCCGCTGTTTCATTCTTGTTCATTTTTCTAATGACGAATTAAAAGAGGCATCAGAACATAACACCACGATTGACTTACGATCAGAAATGTACACAGAAAATAACCGCATCTTATTTCTTCACGCTTCTGTAAAGCAGATCTGAAGATAATTGGGGAGGACACTTCGTCCACTGGTTTCGATGTAAGATCATATAATTTAACCACTTTCGTCAGTAATTTGATTGTGTTCCCTCGGTCTGTAGCCAGTGATTCAGAAAGAATTAACCAACATAAGCGCTGTTACTATATCGTGGACTATCTATTGCACCGCTCCTTTCCCTGGGATCGATGTGATATCTCGCCTAGATCCTGAGTGAATTTATTGATACTTTTAATATTTAATGTTTTATTTCATCTTTATTGAGTCTACAAAGGTATATACAATTTTATGAAAAACGAGCCTCGGGGAATCGAAAAATGCTTGTCATGCACAAAGAAGGGCTCGAATCGTGTTCGTCAGGTTTAGACATACGAATTCCGGGTCCGTACAATGGTAACACATACCGCTGCATCACGACTGCCCCGACAACGATGAAGTAAAGGCCTGTCTATTAAAACAAAACTAAGTGCCCGAGCGGCCCTGGTTAAAAATCGTCAAAGTGCAGAAGCGAACCTCCATTTGGTGGTAGAACGTCTCTGACGATTTATATTGGCAGCTAGTAAAGAACAAGCGGTGGTCAGATTACTGATTCCAAAGTTTTAATGCCCAGATGAATTACTTGTCGAAATCTCAAATTAAGTCGCATCTTGTCACTTAATTGATAGCAGCCCATTCGGCTCACACAACTGCTACTGCTGTCGATTTCACGAGTATTGACCGACCCAGTGTTATATCAATTTGTGCTTGCCTCATGTTCATCTTGTAGATCAGTGTTTCGGAATAGTAGGCTCTATCCGTGGATAATTACATCAGCAGACCCTTTGCTCGACTAGCTCCCTTTGATAATGTCTCGGACAGCAAATGCTCACGAGCGGCGGTTAACAACCAAACCGACAGAATTGGAGGCCCATTCCGGGTTCCAGCGGTATATACTGTATACTGATCAGAGACTCGAACGTCCAACTTGTGATTTGACGGTGCTAATTCATGTTTTGAAATATTAGTTGGAGCTTTAGTATTTTCCTGGACATGGTGGGAAGATAAAGCATTGTCTCACGAGTACCGTAGTCGGACGACGTGAACCGTAACCAAACTACTTCAATCACCTTCATTTCAGAGGCTGCATCAGCGTCATTTTTATTTGTTATTTCATTTGTCAAGTCAATTAACTCGTTGAATGGATATCATTATAGAAAGCACCTCATTCTACAACTGTCGACCTGTTTTGACATTCCTATTCTCTACCTGAAACGCAATATCAGTCTGACTAGATCTACAAAGGAAAAAGAAATTTTAGGTCCAAGTGTCTTCTGACTCTGTAGAAGCGTATGCTTCGAAGAGAGCTATATTTCGCTTTTTGGTACAGTGTTTTGGCTGGNCTGGTGTATGAGCTGTGCAGTGTTGAAGTGAAATCCATGAATGTAATTCGCTGTGGGGTTTTTGCAATTACTCCTTTTTATTGCCTATTTAACTTTTTCTTTTGTTATGCACTCATGTTATCCTTTTCTATCTTGTCGATTGTATTGGTGTCGGGTACCAACGGACAGCACATCAGGCTAGTGATTGTGAAAACTGAAAATCGGAACTGGAACATCTGGGGGAGCTTTTCTTCTTGGTTTACGGGGACTGCAACATTTGAGCTTTTCCCACACCTTTTTGCGACACCTGTGGCACCGCCATGATATCCGACTGTCCCTTGAGGGAAGGGTGTACATCGCCAATGTCTCCGAAGCATTGTCCGTGTTTAGTGGGAACATCAGGTGAGCAATGATGAGGTCCGTCGTCGCGTGTTGGTGCGGATAGTCGTTCTCTAACAGAAGTAGTCACTCTATACCGCCTCCGATGTCTCGGTCACGTATTGCGCATGCCTGCCCATCGTTTATCCTTCGGTTCTCTTTTTGCACATGCTGGGTAGCGCTGGAAGAAGCGTAGTGGTTTAAAAAAGCTAGCCTCAACTTTGGCTTAGGTTGGTGCAGCCCGCCTTCTAGGTTGAGGTCCATGGGATGAGGATTGCCGTTGGTTAGATACGCTTAGACATAACCCAGAATAGTAGTCAGTGGCGCGATTGTTGTGTAGTTTGTTTGTTGAAACACTGTTCCCCACAATGGATAAAAGTGTAGATATATGTACGGTCAAACTATCGAAAATGTTCACTCATTTGTTCTTCATGTTCTCCGTTATTTGGTTTCCCCCATTTCACTTCACTCATCCGTACCCATTGATGTTATCATTGTTGTTGTATTGGCTTGTTTGCAAGCCGGTGATTATATGTATACTACTTACTACGAAGTACTCTTTGAAGAGGCTCAAGTCACGTTTCTTCCGATTAGCAACATCGAACCATGGTACTGATTCTTCAATGGGCTGGCTCTTAAAGAGCTGTCCATTCAAAATAACCTGGTGGTGCAAATGAGGTTCTTATGGCGGTATACTTCCTGGGTACAAGTATATGAGTGAACTGAAAAAAGGTTACCGAATATGCACGCCTGACAAGCAGCAAGAACCGCGAAACCGGTCGTGCTTCCAAGGAAACTTTGTCCAGTCATTCATACATTACTTATTATGATATATATATATATATATATATATATATATATATATATATATATATANTCGTGTCGAACACGAAAGTAGAATAAACGTCCTAGACTACTGGCATAGTACGACGGCAACAGCGAATCTCTAACGACGAGAAGGAATGCTCGCCTCAGACAGCCTAAGTTAACTTTTGAGTGTCACTGTCTCGGTTCAAGATTTAATGTGTCAACTGAATTCAAACCTGTTTAACAGGCAGCTTTTAGCTCTGTTAAAGCGATCTTTGCACATCCACACATCCACAGTACTGCATTTGAAAACGAAGCTCTTCGCCGCAAAACAAGACCACTGCATATTTTTGACGGATTCATGGGCAAGGTGTTTTGAAGTCGTCATTGGTCTTGCCTCAGCCGTATCGTAGATACCATCTTGTCAGAAAAATATACTACGTCGCACCCACTGTGGTGTTGGTGTTTACGGCGATCTACCGTTTCTCTCAGTTAGTGTGTAGAACTGAAACAATCACTTTATTTGGATCGAACAGAGTGGCTGCTGTTGTCGCAGTCCGACTGACTTGAAGTGTGCTTAAACATACTAGCTGTTCGTGGATTGCGTTAGTGTGTAATGAATTAATACAATAAACTACGGAAGACAACTGTCTTATGTTTCGAATTGTGAAAAGTGGAGTGGCCTCTGATGAATTCGATATGCCTCTGTAAGTTAATTGGGTGATCTAAGTGTGAAACGAGCGGTGGCATCATAGCTCGGCTGGTAGAACGTGTGCTGTACAAAAAAACAGATGGCGTCCGTGCGTAAATTGTAAAACCACCGCGGTTACCAAGCTTTTCATATTCCAGTACTTAAGACAGTTAATAGAGTTGAATTGTTATAATATATATCTGATGGAATACAGGAAATGAGTTTAACCCACCCTCGCTTTTTCGGAATTCCTCACGAACGCTAACCAGTAGAATCGTGAACTTTGGTGAATTTATGCCTTGTCCAATCGCTGTATTGTGTTCTGATACGGTTTAACTTTGACTTGACAAAGTCGATTGTACCTTGGAAAATGTGTCTTGGGGTGTGAAATGCTTTAACTGCACTTCTTGATCGATCTGGCAGACACTTAATGATCAAATGCCTATAGCTTTATTGCGGGAAACTGCGTATAGACGTTCAGGCCTACTTGGATTCTCAGATTATTTCACTTCCGAATTTCCACTAGTTATACAACACATGAGTTCGTGGATCGTAATGAAAACCCTTCCATTTACATCGACACTTAGACCGCATACCTCAACTATTTTGATCGGTGTCCAAACCAGGGCTGTGAACAGACCAAATAATCTGAGTGTTTTTTATATAATAACCCCATTCCTCTTAAAAGAACAGTATGTATAGTGACGTTTCCTTGCTGGATAAGCATGGATCCCCGCCGACCTCGCCGACTTTGTTTGCGTGGTGGTGGCGCGGTGGTTTAGTCGCTGTCACACGTGCTTTGGACCCTGTGGTTCGAGCCCCGCCAGCGCCACCCAACTTTGGTGGTAGGCAGCTTTTCTGTCGTCCGGTCCAATACCACACATAACCTATCGGGGCCTTCTGTGGTTCGCTACTCCAAGCCCCGGGGATCAGGTTACCGCCTTCGATCACTGAACAGCAGGTCCTCGTGACTATGGGGTTAACTCCGTTTGCTGTTCATCACATGAAAGTGTGTAATAAAAAAATTACAGCGAGGAGAGAGAGTCGTTCAGTGGTCTGGTGTTAACTGTTTTCTTCCTTCTGACGGTGAGCTCCAGGTTTGTGTGAGTGATTCCGCCCATTGAATTCGCTTTAGTATACACATTGTTATTAATGTCGAGGAATGATCAAAAAACATTTCACACCACTAAGTTGCATTTCCGAGATTAAATCAATTTTTCACGTGGAAATTGAAATCCGTACACAAGCCCAATACAGTGATGGACCAAGGCGTAGTTATACGACATTTCACGAACCAATTCTTAAATCTTCTTGGTAAATGCTGGAAAATCGGGGATGCGCCCAAATCATGTTGTGTGCTATATCTTACTTTTTTGCACATTATTTCGGTTACGTTTTTGTAGGTCGTAAACCAAATTAGTAAATTACTAATTTGGCAGGATAGCCTGAAAATAGCTGAGTGTGGAGTATTCAACTTGCAGTGGACCACAGAGACCGCATTCTGCCATGTGTTTAAGGAAAGCTTCTCGGAATTTATCGTTCACTTCGCTTTTGTGCGCAGATCAAACAAATGTATATGCCACAGTGATTATCATCTCTGGTAAAATAATATGGATGATGATCGAGTAGCTCTTGTCTTTGCCACTGATGCCTACTGATCCTTACGCTCCATAGCCTGAGCTTTTCCATTACCACGCAAATCCTATGGTAAAAGGCTCAGCTGTCGCTCGACCGACTACATTGCTTATCTCATTTCAAACGTCGTAAAAGTCGCTGTTCAAAGTTACGGTTCCCGCTTCCATAAACAAATAGCAGATCCTTATAATTGGTGCCAATGTTACGTGTCGCAGGTTATCGTGATTGCTCTACACAAGCACGGCTGATCGCGGAAAATAAGCCACCTTCACGAATGTTCGATTACCGTTGTCCGTGCGTGGTAGCTGGCTGCAAGGTCGACTTGGCCCGTTTACCACCGATGAATACCGTGCATTATCCGACATAGGTCATCTAATCTTCACGCTCTATTGTGCACAAGTGATGCACCGTAGCCTCTACCACACTGTGTGTGTGCATGTGTCAAGTGTCTCCAGGGCACTCTGGCGGTCGTCTCCAACTTGATTTAGTAATCTATTATATTAGGCGCGTGGACAACGCCCTAAGTATATGTGATCCGTCTAATCTGACGCTGGTTCCCAATAAACTGCTTTCTTCGCAGTTCAAACTGACTAACCGATGGCTTTGGTTGTGGGCTGCTCACTGTTGCTTGCTTTTGCTAGGACAACCCGGTAGTTTTTCTTCCAGAAGTAAATCATGAACCGTATTCAATCCCTTGAGGATTTATATTTCCGCGATTTGCTTCATACACAGTATAAAAGCAGATTGTTGTGGAATATAATAATGATCAAAAAATCAATCATTGTCATCGTATGCATTGTTCTGTCGTTTTTAACCTCGGCAACTTGACGTGCAAATGCACAGAAATATTCAAGTACCTTGTAAAAACAAATGGATATGCACCCTTATGGGACACATCAAATCTATAACCGAACCGCTCCTAGGATCTCACGGCACATTGTCAATGATGAGCTCAGTTTTTAGATCATTCATTACCTATGCTCTATGTTGCTCCCAACTACGTACAGGTTTGCGGCCCAGACAAACCGTATGTGAATCCACAGGACCTAGAAGCGGCGCATACTCGAGCATTCAACGCAGCCGTGCAAAAATTCAGTGGGATCCGGAAAATGGGCGGGGAATCGTACTCCGCTACCTATCTGGAACGATTGAAGAATCAACTGACACAGTTAGCCAACGAATATCGACTGGCCAATACGAATAAAAATATCTTCCAAGTGAGTTCTTAGATGTATTCAAGTCAACCGTTGACGCCTAACCCGGTTCCGCCCTGAAATGCTTGCCCAACATACCTCACAGGAAACCGTCCCGGGCTTTCCAGGATGTTCATGCTTTGTTGTTTGTTCTTTTTTCTCCTCCAGCTGAATCCCCAACGATAAGGTCATCTATCCATTCGGTAGTCGTCTGAGTATATGTATTTTTTATTGTGTCCGGTTTGCACACCATTTTACTCATTATCAGCATTGTTGCAGTAACTTGCATTTCTCTACTTTACTGCAGCTTGCTCCTTGGAGAGGGCAACCTGGTTCCATGATAATCGTGAATTTTCCTAAGAGCTTGGTACGAGAGACCTCAAAGTCACTCGGTGTTGTTTAGGCCACAGCTCTAGTATTTGCACAGCCAAGTGCGGATTGCAAGGCGGCAGCTGCCGGGGGCTCTGTATGAGCTCATTCGCCATTCGTTAGATGTAGCTAAAGTCCAACGGTCCATGCATCCCTGTTAGCTGGATGGATCTCCTTCATAGCTGTTGGATTAGGTAGTGGATCTCTTCCGCCCCTTCAGAAATAGTTGCCTCGACAACCTGTTCACCGTTCACCTCGGATACACTCGGCCTGGCTTAACCCGCCTTTTGAGCGGTTTCCCGTGGTGTGGCCGCTGATGTACGCCTCAGCTTTATGGAGCCACGAATGAGAGTGCACTTAAACGCGGCGCATAGCGTTAATCGCTAGTTAGACAATATCAACATGTCCGAGCCATCGTAAACAATGGCCTCCAGAAGCTTCGTTATGGTCGGGAATGTGTCTGCATCTTGCGTAACGCTCCTTTTCGAACAAGCGTCTCAAATAGCCTCTGCTGAGGAAGCCCTTCTCGTTGTGACGTTTTCCCACCAATTCGCAAGGACAAAACGCCAAAGGCAGGCAGTTCACCCAGGGAATTTGGCTAAAATCCTCAATTCTGACCAACTTTAGACCTCTGAATCCGGTCGATGGTTGTGATCCGGTGAATTGGGCATCGCTCCCAGTGGATTGCGGTTTTCACACACCCAACTGCTTTGCGGGTCCGACTTTATCTAGGCGAAGACTGTGGTTGTGAATGCTTTTAAAAATTTATCTACTTTCGTCTGGGTATCCCGCCCAGTAGAAAATGTACATATTCCTTGTTATAAAGGTTTTTACTGCGATTTGTTTAACGTTCATTCTGGATCATATATATGTGTTTGTGTGTGTGTATGCATTTCAAACATTTATAAGCAATGAAGTGCAAGTGAGATTGGTCATAAAAATGTTTGTACCTAAGCCAAACGTTCAGAAACGACGTTATATTTGCGTTTCTATACCCTTGATATATCACCATTTACACGCAAACGAATCCGTCTCTCTCAGTATCATCATTTTGTTCTTATTGTGCTCCAATCTGCTTTAGTGCTGCACCAAATTTGTTTGCAACATCAAATGATCAACAACGGCGCCTGTTCTTATGATGTGTTTCTAGGTTCATACGATTTTTCTTCAAAGAGGTTTCTTCAGGTAGGCGTAGAAGAAATGTGACACATTCATTTTACGTGTGTGTCCTTCATCATACACGTTTTGTTACGTTGCTGTTGTTCAAAAACAACAGAATTGGTAACAGTTGTTTATATGTATGCGTATGATGGTGTTATTCTCACCACACATTACCACTTACTAGTACATTACTACACAACAATACTAGGGTGTTGATCAATTAAATGTATATGTGAAAGCGGGAAAGAACTTCTTCAAGGGGTCCTTGCTGTTGCAATAAATGGATTGTGCTGTTTGGCCTGGTAATGAATGATCGGTCGATTGAGCCGTATACTATATCTGAAGTGTTAGACAGAAGGCTTTCTTGCTGGGTTGTTAAAATCTCCAGGTTTTAGGTTTTTGACCGTACGCTTATTCCTCGCTGGATTTACTTCATTCTTCCTTGGGCGTCTATAAAATCTCCCCAGATTATCAAGTTTTACATTTTGTAGAGGGCTAGGTCACCACGATCGGTTATGAGGTTTTAACACTGGACATTTAGCTCAGAGCATTCCACAGAATTATACAGAATGCACTCAGTATCTCTCAGTGTCGCAGACACATTTTGAATCACTATGAATTTACACCATTTGTTCAAAGTAATGAACCCCGTAAAACAATAAAATGAAATTTTTCTAGTGCACCAGGAGATGCCTACCACCGTTGGTGCCCATTCTTGAGATTACTAACAAATGAGTGACTCGGGGTTTCTGAAAGCTTAGAGTGCTGGTTACATTCTAATATCATACATACATTTTTTATCCCTAGACTTTTCGTACTCCGGCGGTGCTTGCCGTGATGCTGTTCATCTTCTACGTGGTGACCGGAATCTCCGAATTCATTGGTCTCTCCTCCGTAACAAACATGTTCTTGGTTCCATTCTATATGGCTCTAGTCACATTGTTCACTTGGCTTTTCCTCAACTATACGGGACGTGCTCCTGAAGTTGCTCAGGCAATTGACAATACGGCCGACCTGGTTGTGCAAAATGTAAGTATTCGGATTTGTCTCCCTACTGTTGTCCACCTTTTCTCCCCTGGTTGTATCGTCAGTTCGCATTTTGGTTTAAAAATGTGCCATTCTCAACCCGTTATCATTCAATGTATTTTAATAATACTACAACTAATTTACCCTTGTTGGTGATCATTCTTGCATATCCATCGTGTCCACGGAGAGATTTGAGCTACGTAAACATCAAACATTGTATGAAGCTTTTGTAGTCAGTTGCAAATCAGCTCACATCACTCTCCCTCTCCGTAGAGTGTTGTTAGTTGCTATTTGCTGTTTCCTGTAGTCAATTGATTTCGGCAGATAAATTGTGCTAAACCCACTGTGATATTTACTGAAGTGGGTATTAGGTGTAAAAAGATTATTGCTTGACCAAACAAACTATGACCAGGGAACTCGGTGATGTGGATCTCGTCAGGCTTCCTTGGCCTTGTGACCAACCTAAATGATGGTTATGAACACTAAATGAATATCGTAAACAGTGGAGCTCATGCATCACTAAATTTATATCCGTACTTGGCTTGTCTCCGTTGTTTATGTTCACCTTGCTACTACTTTCTACTTTTACTCCTAATTGCTTTATCCTTGTTCGACTAAATGCGTAATCGAAAGACGGCAACCATCACTGGCGCGTAATGGTTGTGCAAACCGAAGCTGAATACTACTGCCATTTCGATGTTTGCTTCACTGTTGCATACCACAAAAATTTCGGTCCCCATTGAGCGACGGTATATTTGACACCCAAGACAAACCATCTCCATCTAAGGAGCATATAAGCAATAGATCGAATAGTAGTTCAGTCAGAAGAGCTTCGTGTTATCCTCTAAAATGCCACTAATCGCCTGTCCTAACAATACACCTTTCGTCCGAAGCAATGTCTGATGATCGGTTATACTATTGCGCAACACGTGAAATCTGGAAATCATTTGATCTCAGCGGGTAATGTTTGACCTCTCTTCCCGCAGTGTTTTAAACTTTCAGGAGTTTCGCCCTGACCTTTCTTTGCGCAGCTGTTCACCTTCCTACTTCTAACTTCACCTTACAAGTAATATGTCCAGCCACCCAACTTTGGTGGTACGCAGCATTTCTGTCGTCCGGTTCAATATCACGCCTAACCTATCAGGTCCTTATGTGGTTCATCACTCCAAGTCCCCAGGCTTAGATTACCGATCTCCATCACTGAGCAGCAGGTCCTCGTGACTATGGGGTTTACCCCGTTTGCTGTTCATCACACGAGTGTGATAAAAAAGCTACAACAAATCAGGTTTCTTTCATTTCGCCGAGATCGGCAATTTTTTTGCAAGCGTTTCATCACCAGCACTGATGATGTCATCTCTGCAGACCGATTGCCAAGCTCGGCGAACAGGCGAAATGGAATTCTGTTCACTGGAGCTACGAGAACCGATTTTCAATACTCTGTCAAATCGGGTTTCTTCCCAGTCAACCCAGGAATCATCGGATATTCGATCTTCTCAAAAACAGATGAAAAGGTTCACAGTCAGCATATTGGTCATATCCGAAATATGATTGTATAACAGTTACAAAAAGCAGTGTCCCACATGCACCTTAGACACGATCTTTTTCGATCTGGTTTTTCGACCCTTTTTAGTAGTGCAATCTATCCCTCTTGCCAGTGCGATAAAATGCTTGAAAATCTCGATTTTCTTGCGTTTCGTCTGTACACCACGCATGCTAGTTAAATGAAAACGATAATCCTCGGGGTCATCCATGTACACCTGTTCCTCCTTAATAAAACTCACCCGACAATGTGATTGCGCACAATGGTATGACGTTACTATGACGAAGGATTGCTATCCGTATGAACTGTGTTGTATCACATTTTTGTCTGATCCGGACCAAATGGATTGATAATGGGGTGTACAGATACATTCACATACGGTTGAATATATACATGTTGACGAACATGATGTTGATCAGTAAGCATACTGTTTATTGTTACACCGTGTATGATTTCGGTTCTAGGGCCCACTCTTACGACGTGTGGTTTTATATTGGTTGTTGTTCTCGACCGAAAGATTACGTTGTAATTTAGTCACAGGAAGATGTACCCGCAGAATTCCTGTGATATTCAAAATACTGTTGCTCGCTAGACTTGCCACACGCATCAAACGCAGCGAACACAGGTACGCTGAAATACCCTTACGGAACACACAAACAACTTGTGTCATCTACCACGGGACATCTATTGATAGTGAATCATGGTCCGAACCTGAAAAACTTATTCAGAGTGATACTCTAAAACCAACCCCGGCTTCGCAGGTTCGCGAAATCTGTTGCAATTGGAAGATGGAAACCGGGCCTATGTGCGCAAAACTCATCGCCAGTGCTTTGGAAGTATCCAGAATGTGATCGTTGGAACATGTCGCATTTGTGTGTATTTCATACTCTGTCATACTACATAGTTTCCCGGTCAAGATGCATAAATCATGCAACCTGCCTTTGTTGTACTCTCTTCAACATTCAGAAGACCATATGCAATCAGAAACTATTAATAAGGTTGTCATTGATTTCTTGTCAAACTGTGAAAGGTTGAAATTTTCTTTCGTCGGAATTAGTTCAGTTTACATATCAGCGTTCACAGTTTTTTTTAAAAACTATTCCTCTTCCAATGGGCTTATTGCCTTCGGCCGACGAATGAGAATGTTGTACACGGTACTCGGATTATCATTCTAAAGTCGGG